GTCTGTACCATCTTTTTGCTGCTGTGTTTTATTGTGAAAGGATTACAAATTAGAAACTATGGTTACAAGTGAACTCAACTTTGCTGTCTGAATAAAAGCGTGGTGGGCACAGCTAACCAAAAAGTGAGCTTTGCTAACTCATAACTAAAAATATATCTTCGCTAATGCTAAACATGTAAAAAAAAAAGAAATTAAAAGCCAGCTAACCATAAACCACTAAGACAACTGTTTCTCAGTCTTCATCACATCTTTGTCTCCTTCCAGCTGCAGACTGGTGGGTCTGACACAAACATGTTAATGTTAGCTTGTTAGCTAGCTGTTAGCAGACAAAGTTGTCAAAACCTAATTTAGCAGAAGCTAACTGACCCGCTAGTTTTCAAAGATAGTGAAAAAGCTGATCTTCTAAATGAAAAGTTAGTTATTGAAGCATGCCCACTACTAAACATACCCCTCCATGTTGAGCCTTGAGCCAGTGCAAATGAAAACATTTCATGGTCCTCTGCTAACAGCTAGCAGCAGCGACTTATTCAGAATGTCTTCTTTTTTGCAAAAGCCGAAGTGTTTCCACACACTGGACCACAACGGTGGCTTGATCATTTCTCTCGTCAAACGCTTCTCCTCTACCGTCCTCCGTGGTTTTTTTTGTCTGCTAGCGCGAGTTGATGATGTCCTGGACAGGCAGAGTGAATCCAGTAAAATTTAACGTGACTGTCATTAAAGTGTATCTTACCCCCCTGTGAAAAGATAACTCCGCCCCAAGGCAAAATCTGAAAAATGCATCAAAGTGGGTAGGGGAGGGGGTGTGGGTAGGGTAGAGGGGGTTAGAGAGCGGAGGTGTGGCCAGGACGAGAGAACTTGACAGCTAGCATTAGCATAATTGATGCTACATGGAGAGGGACCACAGCGACGCAGATAGTTACATCTCTAAACGGTCTGAGGTGGAGGATTTTTCACCCCCCTCCTCACCAGAGGCAGAGAGAGACTTGATCAAGTCAGCTCAGTCTGGGACTGACTCGTATTGTCTCCGTGGGTCAGGACCCGGCGCGCTTTACCGCAGCCTCGGCTGAGCTCTGTCRGCCTCACCCCACACCAGCCTCGGACACAGCAGGTGGAGTGCTCCGCGACAGCCTGACAGAAAAAAATAAAAGCATACAGCTGCAGCTGCTCACAAGATCACTAGTTTAAATCAGGAATAAAAGTGTTGGGTCTTGTTTGACTGAAGTTCGGTCCGTTAGTATCAGGATTTATGAATGATCAAAGAGGAGCGGATCTGATACAAAACAACAATACATGAGACCAAGTAAATAATAAGTGTCTTTATTTACAGTGCACAGG